CTCAAAAGCGCAAGTGAACATACAAAATTTCGCAGCAAATTCATCCAAAATTGCAACCTATTAATAATTTCCCCATCGCTCGGGTTGCATCAAACGGTTAATAAATTAGCGAGTTATGAGAAACATTTGCCGAATTAATTAAATTCCATGCAAAATTTAGTAGTTTGTAAATTCGCGGCCGCAAAAGCCTGCACTAGAACCTTGTTGGGGATTTCTTGATGCCTGTTGGGCGTAAATTTTGAATGATACTTAAAGAATTGCAGATGCCTGCCAATTCTTGCAGAATTCTGCAACTGGGGGACATTCAACTTTAATTCTCATTGAAGGACTGGAATTGGGCACAAAAGGCGACAAAATGTTGATCGTCTATTGTACATAGTTGTGCAAAAAGTTCTCGTGGCTGTATTTTTAAAGCAACATATTTCAAGTGTCTCTAGAGGAAAAATCAAGTGGCGTTAGGACGGCCAAAGATATAAAAATTAAGTTGGAGCAGAAAAATCATTTTGTTCTTATTAATATTGCAACCACGTACTTCTTTTGCTTTATTGAAAATTTATTTTCCTTTTGACTTTTAATGCACTTGACTTTCGCGGTTTCAGAGGCTTGATTCGAGTCGATTTTATACAGCAGAAATCCCTAATTTTTACTTTTTTCATCAACTGAATTAAATGGCAGACAACGAATGTTCGAACTATTTTGAGCAGCTCCGTCCAGTGGAATGCATATCCCGATAGGAATTTCACTCGCAAATCCGAGTCACGTATTCCATATTATTTGCTTTTCGATTAGAGAAGCCGGTAAAATAAAGATCGGAATTCCTCTACTGTTCTCCGAGTCAACAAACTGGCGTCTCTCGTTCTGCTCCAACAATACACGGTTTAGGATCCAGTTTTTCGGTCGAGATTTCCCCTTTGTTGGCTGTTCCGTGAAATTTATTTCGCCAATGATAAAGGTAAAAATATGTAGCAGAATTTCCGAGTGCAGCCCCGTAAATGTGAAGTCCAATTTTGCTGCTCGGATATATTCGATAAAAGACCTGATTTATTTCGGAATATTAAATTTTAGTCAAATCCTAGAATTGTCATCGTTCCACAAAATGGCAAAGGAAATACTTGCCCAAGATTAATAACTGAAAAAGTTTAGCCAGAGTAATTGTTAGGGTCCCACATAGTTTTCAGCATAATGTTTGGGCTATTCTGGCTCTATCTTGCCCCATTTACTCTAGATGGTGGCTTTTTATTTCTGCAGCTGGATAATTACAGCTAAAACGGACCAATTTGGGTGTAAGTGGAGTAATTTCATAAAAATATCTTCTTCTATTGGCGTCTTTCATTACTTAGCCAATTGTCTCTTCACTAACCCCCAGCAGCTCGTTGTTTCGGATAAATGTTGATAGCCGAATAATCCAATTGTCTGTTCTTGCTTATTTTCATCTTGAGCTGGAGATTGTTTCATATTCATCATATTGACCCGGTTAAGCTCAAACGTTCAGCCAAAAACGCTAAAAATGGTTCAATACTTTGAGATATTAGGAAGCAGTTCAATTTCTACAAATTGGAACAATACGCATGGAAAGCATCTTCAGCACACAAAAAATTATTTATGAACGCTTTATATCTCTACTTTAAAATGCGGTGGTTTGTGCATCCATTTTTTGGCATAGGTTTCAAAGGGCAGAATCAGTCTAGGCCCTGTGATTTTCGTTTTAGAATTTGTGTTTTTGATTGTTTACGTTGAAGAATGTATGGGTTTTGATTTTTTCTAGATGTTTGTTGTTTAGTGTTGTTAAAAATGTTTTAATAAGTTTGCGCACCTTCTCATTGATTTCGATTGCTTAACTAAGGTTTCAACGACGATAGTCCTCAATTTTTACACAGTTTCCTTAATTAAACTGTAGATTTCAGAATTTTTCCAGTTCAAAAATTCTACTCCAACGTCTGTCTAAAAATTTGATAAATTATTTTATGGTAGCCAAAAATTATTATTTAAAGACAGACTACCAGAGCTTTTTATTTGGTGGATGGAATCAACTAACTTGTTTTTCGGTTGATGCACTAATCATTTATTCACAATTTTGTGCTCTTTGTAAAGTCTTGAAGCGTTCATAGGTTTTGCGAAAAAAATGTCTGTTTTCTTGCTACTTAATAATGTTAGACATTAAGTGCAAATATGCGTCGCGTACGCTTTGACCATGTCGGTCACTTCTTCATTATAAAAGGTCATTCGAAACAAATTTGCGAGATTGATTGACAATGATTTTATGCCTCGCATCACGATATTTGCAGTTAATGTTTGCAGAATTTTTTTTTTCACAAAAATTATGAATGCTGCAAGATTTTACAAAGAGCACAACATTGTGAATACATGATTAGTGCATCAACCAAAAAAATAATGAGTTGATTTCATCCCCCAAATAAAAAATTATGGTAGTTTTTGTGCTATGACACTCAAGAATTCACCACTTGTCCAAAACGGCTGCACTCGATTGCTTCATCAAAACATGTGTCTTACATCAGAACAAATTCACATCAAGTTTCACCAAAATACATAGTACCATTCTCTCGATATTTCAAAAAATATAAATTTTTTTTGACCATGAATAAAAGCCAGGCATTTTTTTTTAATAAAAATTAGGTCAGATCGTCTTCTTTTGATGCAAAAAGTATCGAAGTATCTTTTTGATCATGTGCTTACGGGACACCCTGCATAAAATACCTTGAAACACCACGATAACTTTATGTATTTGGTTGAAATTTCCGTCCTTTAAGCCGCTGTTTAATCGGAAAATGTGAGCACCTGCGAATCATAGTTTTATTGCAATTTTTGTTTTTTTCTTATGGGCAGAAGTCGCCATTTACCGTACAGGGTCTTTGGCGTTGGAACTTCCCCCTCTTGATGAAAAATCGCCTAAATAATTAGAAGCTTCAAATAAAAATATTTTTATCAGTAAATATCGGTGTGGAAATCACTCTATTTCAACATCGATTAGACAGAGAATCTCTCTGGCACTTAGAGAAGTAAACCGGCAATTTCGTGTTCCGGCTGCGAAATCAAAGAGCCCTAATGAGTAAAGCATAAACAGCATTTCAAGCCCTATTTGATGTTAAGTCAGGATACTGTGACGAGAACTGACTAATATTAGTAATAATACAATTAAGCTGCTTTCAGTGCATATCGCATGTCATCCAGAATGGAATCTTCCACTTAGCAGAATTGAAAATTAGTAGAATAAAACGGCACTAGTTCGGCTAATTGTCGGGTTGCTTTCATCGGCAGAAGATCAATTGAATCACAAACTTGAATTTATAGAACACATTCAAATTTGAATGAGTAAAGACGTAAAGCCCCTAATCGATGTAGATTTGAAGATATCTTGTGCCGCTGAGGAACGTAAAATTTAACCACATTGCTCAATCTGTTGGGCCAAAGTGGCGCTTTGCTGCCGAACAAAAGACAGCAGTTTAGTACAACTTTAGGAAAATAATAGGTCAGGAATAGCTCGATATAAATCTATTGTGCCCTAAGTTGGGCTATTACTGACGTAATCAGCGAACGGCAGAAACGAAGTGCGGCCCATCGAGGGTAAATGAGCCAAGTTATCGTGACAATACTTCGACCTCGACATCAGTTCGCTGCGGCAATTTTCTTGGAGGAAATTAGGCAAATCAATTGTCGATTTTTTCTTGGACCAAGCAGCAGCAAACAGTCGAATTTTCACATTCTGAGTAAGCGTAATTAATTTGCACATTCCTTGAGAGATTAGAGCGATCCCATACGATAAATTGCAGAATTTATATATGTTTTGCAAGTGATCCAAATCCGAGCTTATAGCGATTTGCTGGAAATCTGAAGCCATTACTCGGGTTCTCGTCTTCCATCTGTTTGGGGTTTCGAGCATTCGCAATACCTCATCATTAAGCTCAGCCGCATTACAAATAATCCTTCAGTCACGAATGACTCCGTCGTACTGAAGGTAAATGGATCAAACTGGAAGCTTGATTGTTCGAACATTAGGATCAGCCACAACATCAGTCAACTTCGTCAGTTATCGAGAGAAAATCGAAAATGAACAGCAAACGGAAATGAGGAAAACCGAGACTGATGCGCTCGGGGCTGGCCGATTAATTTTAATGAGTCCTCCTCGATGTTCTGCCGGAGGAAAATTGACTAATCAGGCCGCTAATCCGATTGGAAATAATTTACCGCTCCATAATTGTCCCCAGTTGTACAAACAGAAAAATTCAATTGGCAGGCGATTTGAATTAACCTGCTGCTGAATACACATTGTTCGCTTATGTAGCGCTTGAACTGCAGTTTACAGCAGTTTTCGGCGAGTCCCAATGAAATAGAGACGCTGGCAAATCTCACACTAGCCCCGATCCCTGGGGAGTCGATTCTCAGCTAGAAGTTTCGAAATTTAAGAAAAACTCAAATTGCAAAAAGCTATTCTGCTCACGGAACCGGCTCAACTTCTCATGTTTATTGTGGCAATTCCACCTAAGCCATTACTAAAGGACCAGCCCTGTCGACTACGGGTCATTTCCCAAATGAGACCGGATGAGTCGAACGTCAGAAATGTATTGGGGTTTATGGAGATGGGGAGAGCTGATACCCAACAATATTGGATATGTGCCGGCAGGATGGCGTGCATCGCACTCAAATTGGAGGAAAATCGCTCTAAAAAGCCGCTTCTAAGTCAATTTTTTGACCCAAAAATAACGGCCTTTTTAAAAAAATTAGGAAGCAAAAAAGTGTTTTTCCGACCGGCCATAGTTACCCTTATGTAGTTGATAATGTGGGCTTTGCTATTTAATTTTAATGCGTCCACATTATACGGTTCCCTTACTGTTTAATTAAAATGGAATGAAAAACGCGCAAATTTCAGATTCATACTCGGTAATTGCCGAAAGGATTCGCACATAATTGCAGGTGTTTTTAATTATTTTGTTCGTTTCGTTCGTCGGTTTTAATTAATGGTTTTTTCTGCTCGGTTGTTTCAGATTATTGGAGCAGCCATTTTCGCTCTGTGTTTATGGCTGAGGTTCGAGCCAGGAATCAATGAATGGCTAACTATTCTCAATGCTAGCAACTTCTACATTGGAATCTACATTTTAGTTATTGTGGCCGCTATTATTATGGTGGTTTCCTTTTTGGGCTGCTTGAGCTCGCTGCAGGAAAACGCGACGATTATTCTCGGGGTAAGTTAGTGCTGTATCAATGCAATTATCTTGCGTAAAACGAACTGCATAATTTAGTCACTTGCATTCGGAATCTGGAATAATTGCGGGTAGCTGATTCGCACTGGGACTGAAAATGACGAGATAGATGTATGTTTGCAAGATATCTGGTTATGCACGTCCAGGGATGAGAATTATTTATCAGCCCGCATAATATGCTAAGAATGATGGAAGCTATTTGCAGTTAAGCGTCGTGGTGTTTTTCGAGTAATAAATATTTTTTTCATTAACTGTTTGCTGGGTATTTGACCCAAAAATGATTGCCGTTAAAAGACAGAATTTCCTCACGTCTTTTATTACAGATTGATAAACAGGGCTCTTATCTCGCAATAAGAATAAATTATTTATCAAAAAGAATTCAAGAACCATCACTTAGATGGTATCCTGCGAGGCACTTGGACTCAAGCTGTAAGAGAAAATTCCAATTACTAAAGAAATAAATTTAAAATTTGATTGAGTTGAACTTTTAGATAAATAGTTCCTTCTTATTGCGAGATAAGAGCACTGTTCGTTAATAAAAAACGTAAAGGAAATTCTGTCTTTTAAAGAAAAAAATTTTTGATGCGAAATACCCGACCAACAGTTTATGAAAAAATTAATCCGCCCCAACAATATTGAGTAACAAATCGTTACAGATATTTTTCTTTAGCAATTGATGCTAAGTTTTAAGTCAACAGTCTAAAGTGGAAAAGTGAAAAATTAATTAATTTTTCAAGGTTTCAAGGATTTTATTAATCTTTTAATTTTTTCTGTTAACTGAGATTGATAGCAACGCTGCACATTGGATCAAAAGAGTGCGCAGCTTCTTTTAAGAAACTCTGGTTTTATTGCTAATGATAATATTAGAATTTTCTATCCTATAGTATCATGTTAAATGACTGGCTTTTAGTACAGAATTTTTTCATCGTTTTCTTCAATACAGAGTTTATTTAAAACTTCGCAATCAAAGGAAATCCGAGCTTGGTAAATGTACACTGGAAAATAAAGATTTTTGACAAAACTGCACGATCTGACTAAAACTCGGAAATTCTAATCTGAAACAAGTAGCGACGTGACATTTTTACAGTTAATAGCAGACGATCGGATCTAACGCGACTAATACCTAATTTGAGTCAAATTGCGCGCAAAGCTGATTTTTGCTCAAATAATGGGCGAAATATAAAAACTCAAAACCCCATTTACAGAACTGCACCCCCGGATTTGATAAAAATCCAAAGTGCTAATTTCGCACCAGTAACATATTGAAACATGCAGCTCATAGGAAACCCTTTAGTCTGAAAACCCTGAAGACTGCATAAAAATCGCATTGCATCCTGACCTTTCAGAACCTAGTGAATGTACGCTTGTATTGCAAGTCGTTGCAAAGCTGTATCCTCTCATTTAAAGTATGTGAACTTCTAATCTAAAACAAGTAGCAATTTGAAAATTTCATAGTCTTTAGCAGACTATCCGACCTAAAACATATGGGAATCTAGTTAAAATCAGGGGCAAACCTGAGTTTTGTTTATGTGGTAAATATTGGCTGAAATATAAAGACCGCTTTTACCGAACTGCATCTCAAATTTCAAAAACTTCAAATTTCTAGTTTAATGGAAGTAGCACATTGAAACTTTTGGACTCCTAAAAAGACAGTTCAACCTAAAAACTCCAAAGCTGCATCGAATTCGCATAAAGTCCTAAGTTTTATCTACTTAGATATAGTTATATATTATATAAGCTTGACAATGAAGGTTTTCGACCTTAAAAAGTTTGAACAACTGCAGCCTCTGAATTAAAGCCTCTAAACTTCCAGCTATAAACCTCTAGCAACTTGAAATTTTCGCAATATGTAGCAGACGAATAGGCATGATCACGGTGAGAAAATGGTGCAAATGGCGCGACGGCTTGAGTTTTTTCAACTTGGAAAATATTAGCCCAAATATAGACGTCATTTTAACAAGAATGCACCCTCGGAATTCAAAAAATCTAAACTTCCAATCTGGCCCAAGTATCACATTGAAACTTTGCCAGACCATCGAAAATACGTTGGTCTGAATACCCTGAAAATTTAATTAAAATCGCATTAACTTATGACTTTTGACAACCCAGTACATATGGGCTTGGAAATATAGGTGTTTGCAAGATTGCTCCCTCTGATCTAAAGCCTCTAAACTTCTGATCGCAAACAAGTAGCAAATGGAAGTTTTTCGGGTCAAGAGCATACGATTGGGTCTAAACAAGTCGCGGGCAAACCTGAGTTTTGTTCACTTGGAAATTGGCCAAATGTAAAGACAGAATCTGAATCTCTAACAGAATCTCTGATTTAAAACTCCCGAACTTTTTACCTAAAACAAATTGCCACCTGAAATTTTCTCTAGCTGTAAGAAACGATTCAATCTAAAAACCGGTGCAAATTTCATTGAAATGGCAAGCAAACCTAATTTTTATCAAAAATTTAAGTCAAGGTTTGCTTGCGGATTTAATGAAATTTGCAAGTTTTTTTGGATTGAATCGTTTTCTACAGCTAGAGAAAATTTCAGGGCGCAATTTATTTTTAACAAACCTCCCTATCAAGAACATCTCAACTCAAAAATTCCTAACATCTAATGAAACACAAGTAGTACATTACGACTTTTTACGATCTATGGACGACACGTGAGCTCTAAAAATCGTTAAAATTGTATTGAAATTGCGTTTAATTTTGAGTTTTGCTCACTCAGCAGATAAATGTGGGACTGAAAATAAAGATTTTTGCAAATCTGCACGCTCTGATTGAGAAACCAATTTTTGGCAAAAATTAGGTTTGCTTGCAATTTCAATGAAATTTGCAAGGTTTTTGGATTGAATCGTTTCCTACAGCTACAGAAAATTTCAAGGCGCAATCTGTTTTTAACAAACCTCCCTATCAAAAACCTTCACCCCCTGAATTCAAAAATTCCAAACATCTAATGGAACACGAGTAGCACATTACGACTTTTTGCGATCCATGGACGACACGTGAGATCTAAAAACCGTGAAAACTGGATTAAAATTGCGTTTAATTTTAAATTTTGCCCACTTAGTAGGTAAATGTGAGACTGAAAATAAAGATTATTGTAAATCTGCACCCTCTGATTAAGAAACCCTTAACTTCTAATGTAAAACAAGAAGCGACCTGAAAATTTCACCGTTTATGGAAGACAATTTGTTTCTGAAAACCCTGCAAATTTCGTTGCATCTGCACCAGATTTGTATCCACTTAGTAAATATTTGCCCAAATATGAACCTCGCTATCATTAACCTGGACCCACTGGGTTCAAAAATTTCAAACTTCTAACTCGAAACGGGTAGCAAATTGGAACTTTTGCAATCCATAGAAGACACTTTAGTCTGAAAACTCTAATCAAATTATGAGTTTGCCCACTTAGTAAACGCAGGCTTGAAAAAAAGGTTTTTCGCAAAACCACTCCATCGAATATAGTCAATAAAGAACGATAGATAATTATTGTCTCATAACAAGGAATCTACCAATTTAGATACACGGAAAACGCCAGACGCAAATTGGTGACAAACACCAAACACCCTGAAATAGTTCTGGATACTTTGCATATCCAATCCAGGCCCGATTAGCGCATAGTCGACGAGGCCGCCAAAACAAAGAACCTTATTTAGCAGCTTCGCAAGGCTGTCGGGTTAATTTGTTGGGCACGTTTCAGATAAAATTGTTTATGTCGAGCAAACCGCGTAAATAATTCGGACATTAATAATGGGCCGAACCCTAGTTTTCTTGCGGTAACGCCGAGTCAACACGCATTATTCTCCGTTTAGATTGTGTAGGGGATTTAGCGCTAAATTAAGGTGAAACATGAGAGCCCCAAACCATTGCCTAGAGGCAAATAGATATTTTTCAGATCATTAATATTAATAGCTGGTCTAATGGTGGGACGCTTTGGACGTTTGCTCCCACTGGATCTGGAGTATTTCATTGGAACCCCAAAGCTTAAGTCAAGCTTTCCACACTTTATGGCAACAGAAAATCATTAATGTTTATCAGTTTTTGCTCCGCATTTAACAATCGTTGTGGGTATTCGTTTAGGTTGGCTGCAGCTTGCAGCAGCTTGTTTTGATTCGTTTGTGATAACGTCGATTCGTTCGCGTTTGCGTTTGTTTGTTTCAGTTATTTTAAACTCACTAACTAACTAAACTTAAACTGTCGACGAAACACATTTGAATTCGCATTTGTCCGAGTGGACAATCGCGTATATTTCGTTTTTGCCTCTCCYAATTTCGTRAAAAACAACCTATACTGTATTTTATTTATAYTTATTTTGTTTTACAATATTACAATTTTTATCAACTGATTTGGAAGCTTAAAAAAATGATCTAAAATAAATCAATCAAAAATGCGTTCGGTAGAGKTTGGGTTAGTKTGCATCTGTWCGATTAAGTTAGTGTTTATTCATCAAGTTTCTTTAGGTAGCTTTGAGCAAGTTTSAGTTCGTTTCGTTCTAATAAAAAAYGAAGCAAATTCTGCCTGAACTATTTTTGGAGATTTTTAACTTCAGTTACTCACTTGATCTAAATAAAAGTACAATGGAAGACCTAACGTTTTTCGTTGAACTGCTCTAAGCCATTTTCGCTTAATTTCACTAAGTTCTGTCTGGATTTGCTACTATTTAATGAACTTTATGTTACAGCCGCTTTTAGAAACTTAGCTTTTATTAGGACACGTTTCGTTTTAATGCGAAAAGTTGTCAATTGCACAGCTGCAGGCATGATTTATACATTTCTGCGTTACTTTTCCTAATCATTAATTTCCGCACTTGAAAGGTGTGTTGTGTTGATTTATTGTTGGGTACATTGAGCTGGGATTTGAGATTTTGGGATCAGTTTCCAAACGAGTTGTCATACACTTTGGCATTTTTCTAATGCGACAGCTCTTGCTGGCAAATGACAAAACAGTGGGAATCCGATGCAAAGATGGATGTGCTTTTATGCCATCG